TTTTGCATGAATTTTCCAGCAGAAATGCGTCAAGCTTAAGTTGTAAAGTTTATATCTTATGCTGGGGGATGGTTTTAGTTTTATTAGTTTTAACTGGCCTTAGGACTGGAATGTATTCATTTGCATTCTATCATTACATCTATCGTCCTTTTTTGTGTTTGTTACTCACTTGTGACACCTCTAATCTTCGGCACTTTTATGACCTTATTGTGTTGTTGCAAGTGCCGTAAAACGCTGACTAATACTAAAACTAAATATCAAACTTTGTTTCTTTCTCCTCCCCCATCCCCTGCCCCCTTCCAGATGCCCCCACCCGGGCTGCAAGAAGGTGTTCTTCTCCTCCAGGCTCCTTCTTTCCTATCCAAAATCTACCGTCCTGATCTCTCCTCTTCCTTTTTTTGTGTTAGTTACGCGCTTGTAACAGCTCTAATCTTCGGCACTTATAATAGGACCTTATTGTGTTGTTGCAAGTGCCGTAAAACTATTTCTTTAAAAAAAAAAATCTGTCCTGATCTCTCCTCCTTTTTTGTGTTTGCTACTCCCTTGTAACACCTCTAATCTTCGGCACTTACTAAAACTAAATATCAAACTTTGTTTCTTCCTCCCCCCAGATGCCCCCACCCGGGCTGCGAGAAAGTGTTCTTCTCCTCTAGCTGTATGGGCTCCCACATGCGCGTGCACCAGCAGAGCGTGGAGGATCTGCGCTGCAAGTTCCCCGGCTGCGGCAAAATTTTTGCCCGCATGTGCCGACTGAAGCAGCACGAGAGACTGCACACCGGGGAGAAACCGTTTATTTGTGATTACGAGGTACGTCGAGAACGCTTTTTCTGAGACGGCAACGAGTTGTCTGCGTATTCTAGAGTCTGTTGGGTTGATGATATAAGATTGTAATGTGCATAGAGCCTGCTTTTGAGTTGGGATGTGTTTTGTACAAATTAGGGTATTTTATTCTTTTAAAAAATTATTATTATCTATCTTACAAGTGTTTTAGTTGAGCTTAGCTGCTAAGTTCTTTTTTTTTTTTTGGGGGGGGGGGGGGGGGGGGGGTCTTGGAGTTCTGTGTATATTTTAAAAAATTGTGAGTGAAAAGTAAGATGAGCAAAAGTGTATTAGAATTTTTATTTTGAGTTCTAAAAATTATTCAAGCATGGTGGTGGTTTTCTTGTGTCTCATACAGGTCACTGAGCTTCTTTCACGTCACTTTTTTGCAGATGCTCTTCGTGTTTTGTGTAGTAAAGGTCTTGGG